CTATAAAGTTATTGCTAGTTGGTAAAAAATTTAGCAATCTAATGGAATGGCTTTCTTTTTTTTCTTTCTTCTTTCTGCCAGTCATTTGATTGTTACTACTTTAGATCCCTTTAGGTTGTTGTTATACCCAAGATTTCCCAGGGAAAAATAACCCTGATATGAAATCACATAAGCCATAAAAATACTTAAGGAATCCAACACCGTGGTTCAGTAATTTGTCAACTGCTTGAGAAAAATGTGCCAGGCTCCTGTGGGCTCCAATACATCTTGCTTGAATTAATGGCTCTCTTGGGGCACCGATCTTTGTACATCTTACATTATGTAATTACTAGAGGCCTGGTGCATGAAGTTTTTGCACCGGGAGTGGGGGGTGTTCCCTCAGCCCAGCCTGTACCCTCTCCAATCTGAGACCCTTCAAGGGACATCCCTCTCACAATCCAGGACTGCTGGCTCCCAACTGCTCACCTGCCTGCTTTCCTGATTGCCCCTAGCCACTTCTGCCTACCTGCCTGATCACCCCTCCCCACTCCCATGCTAGCCCGATTGATGTCTAACTGCTCCCCTGCCAGCCTGTTTGCCCCCAACTTCCCTCTTCTACTTGCTTGGTTACCCCTACCTAACTGCCCTCCCCTGCAGGCTTGATTGCCCCCAACTGCCCTCCCTTGCAGGCCTGGTCCCTCCCAACTACCCTCTCCTGTTGGCCATCTTGTGGTGGCCATTTTGTGTCCACATGGAAGCAGGATCTTTGACCACATGGGGGCAGCTATCTTGATCTTATGTGTTGGAGTAATGGTCAATCTGCATATTACTCTTTTATTAAATAGGATTTGCTTCTAATCTTTGATAGATAAGGACTTTCAGGATAGTGACCATGTCTTGTTTCTCAGGCTTCAACCATGTTTGGCCCAGTGAAGGTGTTCAGCAAATCTTTGTTTTCATTAAAATGACTTTCCTTAACATTCTAGAGATTTTTTACTGTGCCCTTTCTTATGCTCATAGCTTCAGATTTTCCAGTTGGGTGACTTGGATAATAAAAAGGGGAGAGATGAGCTATAATAGTAAATTGTCATTCCAATAAATAGCTTGGCCAGAAAGACTTATATATCACAGTTATTCTGTATGTGTTAGTCCAAAATAAATCTACCTGCTGATGAATATGATTAATTAAAAAATAAACTGATGAATAAAATAGACCCAGAGACATAGAAGCATGGAGCAAACTGTTGAATCTCAGAGGGAAGGTGTCAGGGGGAACAGGGGTTGATATGGAAGGCCTAGGGAAGAGTGTGTGTGGGTTGGAGGGGATCAGTGGGGGAAAAAGAGGGGGCAAAAAAGATAATTTTAAAAAATCATGGAAAATTACTTCAGAAGGGCTTATGAGTTATTTTAGCTTTTTTTCCCCCCCCCCAAGTTATGTTTTATGGAACACTAATTCTATAAGGTTTATATTTTTATGTAAAAAAAAAAAAAAAGGTTTCTTCCCCAAGTAAATTTAGAAATTCATGAATTATAGGAAGATAACACGTGTCTTTCATCAAAGTTTTAAAATATCCTAATGTTTTGTGTGTTGTTTTTTTTTTTTAAACATGTTTCTTTTAAAAAAATATATTTCATTGATTTTTTTACAGAGAGGAAAGGAGAGGGATAGAGAGTTAGAAACATCGATGAGAGAGAAAGAAACATTGATCAGCTGCCTCCTACATTATGTGCCCACTGGGGATGTGCCCTCAATCAAGGTAAATGCCCTTGATTGGAACCGAACCTGGGACCCTTCAGTCCTCAGGCTGACACTATCTACTGAGCCAAACCGGTTAGGGCCTAATGCTCATTTTAAAGAGTTAGCTATAATACTTGCTTTCCATGGAATGCTTTGAGTTTTTTTAGGAGAACCTTTTGAGTCCTCTGTTTTTTGGAACAGAGCTTGGGAAATCCTGTTCTAGATTAACCTTTAACAGGAAGAAGCTGAAGACCAAGGAGATTATTAATGTCCAGGGTGACTAAGCTGCATCCAAGCATTGTGACTAATAGTTGCCATTGTAAGCTGCTTCAGGGGAAATTTTTTTTTTTTTTGAAATCACCCAGTTGAACTCATTGCACAGTAATGATGTTGGAAAGCAGCGGGGAGAATTGACTTAAGCTAAACCACCGTTATATTAAAGCAGTTATTTTCCATTGACTTTTATTCTTTCACTCCTCAAATTAAGTAATATTTGTTCTTACCAGATAGAATCTTACTCAGAGAGCTGAGAGCTTCAAAAAGGAAAAGGTGTGGGTGCTAAGGTGCATGACACATTATGATTACTATTTTCTATTTGATTAACATCACTTCTTTAGCCTAGCTAATAAAGGGGCATCATCCTTGTTTCTCTCCTGGGTTTTCACACTGAGAAAGCAGCTTATTGCTCTATATTTATTAGGACTAAGTTCTGTAGTAGGAAAGCAATTATAAGGTGTCTGTTGAGTGTAGTTTAATAATTATTTGGAGCTGATAATTATTTATATTTTTTACTCATTTATAGCAAGGGAAATTTTTTGTTTTCTGTAAAGTAAACCACTTAGGAAAATGTAGTATTGGGTGCTTAATAAACATGACGACTTAGGAAATTGCTAGCATTTTTCTCTACTTCTGAAGCAAAAAGTATAGTAATTTTGGAAATTCTATAACAGATATTAATTTTGTTTGTCCCACCATTCTATAGTCCTGATTGACATACTGCTTTGTAAGGCATCAAATGTAATAAACCTGGCACGGCAACTGGTACCTGGTAATACTCAGAGAATTATTAAAATGATACCTAAAGGAGTCAAGATATTTGACTTTAAGATTGAATAGTTCAAACTCTTCATTATATAGATAAAGACTTGAAGCCCAAAGAAACCCTTATTAGTAGTGAGTATTTCTTTCATAGTGTCTCTGGAACATTTCTGGCTTGAACTGGAAGGAAAAGGGAAATCATCTTAACTTTGAGACTTAGGGAGCATTTTCCATCAAAGTGTTAGAAATACAGATATCTTTGCATGAAAGTTATGTGTAAGTAGGATTGTGTTTTTACCTCATTCTGAGTAGCAACATTTTGTGAGTACACACTCAAGTGTCTTACATTGTAACATGGACTTATATATAGATTTATAAGAATCTTCCAGTGTATGTAGCACTCAAAGGCAATATGTTAACAGTGTATTTATAACTTTGAATTTAGGCATTATTTAATATAAATTCAGATTTGTAAGCCTATTTTGGTGAACGTAAAATATTGAGTATCGGATAATCATTGCTAATTTATCTAGCCTCAGCATCCAACTTACTTCTACACTGATGTGTGAAATAAATTATTTAGATGGAATGTTTTTAGGTCTTCCAGTTTTTCCATATTCTTCATTTTGACATTCTCAGAAAATTGCAAAAGGAAGAATAGTAATTGATTCTTCAAAATTTACACTAAAGTTTAGGCACTTCTGTATTTCTTCTTATAAATACAAAGAAATAAACACCTCAAACTACCATTATTATTACTATTTGTATGAGCCTTTAAGAGTCTGGTGACAGCTATGGACTTTTTCTTCAAAAAAGTGTTCACAAACAAATTTTATGGGTTATTTTATAGGGCTTTCATAGAAATAGTCTTCAGATTCAAAACACTGTCACTTTTCAGCTCAAAACATTTAGTAACCCTTCATTTATTATGCTATCTACTTCAGATTTCTTAAGATTATCTGCAAGGAATACCTGTGATTCAGCCTCAGACTTTTTTTTTCTAGCCTTACCTTTCTCTGCAACACTTCACATTCTAATTGGACTATTGATCATTCTGTAGAATAATATCCATTAAGACATTTATAATTTTTCTGATAATGCTTTCTCTTTTTACTTTGCCTATTGGAATCCAAATCTTTGTTCAAAACAAAACACAGATGCAAAGACTTGCATAATTCCTTTAAGGCAGTGGTTCTCAACCTTTTTAAGGCCTCGACCCTTTATACAGTTCCTCATATTGTGGTGACCCCCAACCATAAAATTATTTTCATTGCTACTTCATAACTGTAATTTTCTACTGTTATGAGTCATAATGTAAATATATGTGTTTTCTGATGGTCTTAGGCGACCCTGCTAGCGACCCACAGGTTGAGAACCGCTGCTGTAGAGCCCAAGACTATCAGAAAACAGATATTTGCATTATGATTCATTAACAGTAGCAAAATTGCAGTTATTAAATAGCAACAAAAATAATTTTATGGTTGGGGGTCACCACAACGTGAGGAACTGTATTAAAGGGTCGTGGTATTAGAAAGGTTGAGAAGAATCACTGCTTTAAGGAGAACTAATATTCCCTTTTTTATAGTCCAGTAGACATTTTTATTCTTCTTTTGAGGTTTTATAATTGACTTGTTTTGTAGTTATTTGTATACACGTTCCCTTTTTTAGGGAGATGGTAATGTTTTGGGGACAGGGTTGGAATGTTGTTCATCATCCAGTAATTGCTTAAGTCTTGCCTGGAGATGAAGTGAGGGGAGGCAGGAGGAAGACTGTTTCTCTTCTTCAGTTAGGCAGCGGTACTCTGATACAGAGCTCAATCGGGATCAGCCAAAAACTCTTAACATTAAATTATAAATACAATTTTTATAGATAAAGTTTTATAGATTACTACATCCTTCCCCACCCAGACTTGCTGAATCATTGTCTTGGAAAAAGGGCTCTCAAATATGAATTTTTATTGTATAGCCAACTTTTGTATACTAGTTTCGAATACTCTCAGATTAAGTTTAAATTTTAATTTAAAAAAAATACCTTTCTCTGTTATCTGGATCTTGTGTCTCTGCTATTGAGCATTCATCTGCGCTATTTAAATCGCTTGAGTTTAACACCAGAAAGTCTGCAGAGCCATAGACTGAGCCCACCTACAAAAGCTTAGCAGGGAGTGTGGAATCATTGACCTGTGGAGTCATTGTATGGAGTTCGTTCATGCTTTAGTAATACTTATTTTCGTTCTCTGTATTTGCAGGACATAGCTCGCCTTCTGCAAGAAAAGGAATTACAGGAAGAGAAAAAGCGAAAGAAACACTTCCCAGAATCCTCTGGAGGGAATGCTTATGGAGAAAGTTACTATTATGAAGATGGAGGTAACATTGCCTACAATCATGACCTACTCTATCCTTAGATTTAAAGCTTTTCCCCCATTTCTCTTGTCTTTTAAAGATAAGCCAATGGTGACAAATTAAAATTTATGATTCTCTGTGCATTCTTTTGCTTTTGATGCTTTCTTTGCTATTTGATTATCACATAGAAAACTTTCTGGAGGAAGGAAGTCCCTTCTAAGTTTCTCTTTCTAGTGCCTGTGTTTGCAGTATGGTGGTGGGCAATTTCGGTGGTGGTGGCTCTTCACCTTCAGTGTGTTGGGAAATGAGTATTTGCAGGTTATTGCTCAGTCCTTTTTAAAGATTTGTCAAAGGAAAGTTATTTCCTATAGCTTCTAGTATGAGTGTTTATTGTAGTTCAGCTTAGAGGCCATACTTGGGATAACAAATAATAAAATCTAAAGGCTGCTTCTAGGAGTAAAGATTTAAGTTTGATGGTTTTAAATCCCCTTGCAAACTATCAGTTGCTTCTCTATAATTTCATTAAGAAAGGTAAGTGGGTGTTTGTTTTTGATGAGTAGGATGAAAGGAATGTATATGCAGATGATGGAATTATCACAGGTTAGGTGCATCTTGCTCAGTCACATTGCTCCTCCAGAGTGATCATAATCAGTAGAGCCCAGCCCTATGGAGTAATTAGTAAGCAGGTTGATTCTCCATTTATTGCTTGCTGTATTCTTCTTCCATATGTAAAGTGCCCAGCTCTTTTAGGATACCTATTTTTTTTTTACACTGATTTTTCTAATGCAGACATGTAGTACATCATTTAAAAAGAAACATTATGGCCCATGTTGTGCTATACTAGAGACCAGAAGGTAAAGAGTTACTCTTTAGACTTAATTAAAATCTTAGGAATGTGTTTTTATTTTGTTTTTACTTTTAATTCTACTCTGGAGGCATGTGCACTGCAAATAAAAATAACTACTTTAAACTTTTAAGTCTAGAAAAATAATTAGGATGGCAATGAGTATACTAAAATATTAATTTTAGTCTCTTTTAAAACCTTATACTAACTTGAATTGGAACTCAAACCTGGTTGTTTTGATCACAGTGTCCTCATCCTGATTCATAACAGATGTTAAGAATTCAGTGGATTTTCAGGGATATCTAAAAGTTAAAAAAACAAACAAACAAAAAAACCCCACAAAAACCACTATCTGATATGTATCTTAAGTGCTTTTGTAAACTTGTAGAGAGTGCCATATATGTCATTTGGGGGGATTGGGAATGTGAAGTAGTGACCTCCTTAGCATATGCTTGTAAATGTTGGAATTCGTTTTCAGTTGTGTTGTTGTTAAGAGATTATGTGTTGCTGAGCATGTGATCCTTATTTATATGCCTCTGAGTTAGACCCAAGTTGAAATGAGAAAAATCACATTACAATTCAGTTTGTATTTACAAAGTGGTCCTTATATTCTTTGCAGTGGTCCTTTCCCAACACATACGAGATAATTCTTTCATTGAACTTCTCTGTCTTTGCGTAATATGATTTTTGCTTTACTTATGTAATCACAGTATATTATTACAGAAGCTTTCAGCTTTTTTTACTTAAAATTTAATAAATTAATCTTTTTAAATGATCATTTATAAATTTTATGCAAATTTATAATTATACCAATATCTGTCAGATTTATATCAACTGAAATGGTATGTCTTATTGTGAATCCATGTTTTTCTTTCAAAGCAATTTACTTAGTGGCATTGCAAGTATTTCAGTGATATTTTTTAAGTTTTTGGTCTTTGGAGTTATACAATCTAAGGAATTTATCTATTATAATCTCTAAGCCTTTTTATAATTTGTAAAATGGGGATTATAATATATTCTTCTCAAGTACTATTGTTTATATGTATTGTTAAGTATATATAACAAAGTATTTCTATAGCTAAATAAACATCATCTTATTTTGAAAGACAAACATGGAGGCACCAAAAAAATAGGTATATATATACACACACACACACATATATATATGTACATATGCATGTATATGTATATATTAGATATAAGGAAGTTAATTATATTTGCCAAATAACTTAGTCTTAAGAAATGTACAAATATTAGTCCTTTATTGGATGGGTTTTTAAAAGGTTCCAAATTATTCAACCCCTGTCTTTTTTCTTTTCTTTCTTTCCCATATTTAAAGATGTCACAACAAATTAAGCAATAAATATTTTTATCCCATCAACTTTGAAAATGTAGTAACTGTTTTTGCTTTCCTTCTTGTAATACATCTCCCTACTAATTAGTAAAACTACTAATATCATTTAACGTTTGAGAAAGAACTTAAAAACACCACCAACAAAATAATCATAGCCTCAAAAATCCATGTTGAAAACAAAACCCTTCTTGTTTCTTTTGGCCTTAAAGGCAGACTTCACTCATGCAGCTGTCTTTGGAAACACTGGTATTAACACTGCAATCATTGTTTCCTGATGTGGTCGTCATTCAAATAGCTGTAGTATATTAATTCACAGCAATAGTCAATTGGTTCTTTCTCAGTTGTCAAGATACACTTAAAATAAGTGTTTGGTTAAAAGAGGAGGCACTATTTTTTTTTTTTTTTAATTACAGACCAATTGTTCTGTTTCACTTTTGCTATTATGTAAAAAATAAATTTAACTATAAATTCTGAAGTAAGTACTTTTACTGACTTCATAAGACATCTTAATTTAGATGTTATCTTTGAAACAAATTTTCTTCTTAAGTTCAAGAAGTAGTTTGAAATGTTTGAAAAGCTTATGGCATCAATGATGAATTTACCATATATCTTTCCTTCCCCTATTCCTTTATTAAATTGACAATAACAAACTTAAAAAACAAAAAAACAAAAAAAAAAAAAAAAAAAAAAACCCACAAAAAATAAAAACAAACAAAAAACACACACAATAAAACCTAGAAACTAAAAAATGTATAGTTCTTTATTTCCTTTATATCCTGTCAACTTCGGGTAGCTGTTTCAAATGCAATTCAGCAAATGGCTAATTACAGCTCTCTGCAATTTTCCATAGAACTAGGATCATTACTTTGAAAAATGTTAAAATAAATACACTCTTGCAAAGTGCCTATTAATGTACTTACTTTGTTTCTATACTATTCTTGTGCCTACATGAGATCCAACAAAAGCACCTATCTATTTGCTGCTTTTAAACATGGTGTTAAACTTACGGACTTGCATGTTTAGCACATACTGTATTTTTATATGAATGATATTAGAATCATTAAGTTTTAAAAATGAATTTAGGAAATGATTATTTTTTGTGTATTCCATGATGGCATCTCTTTTTAATATTTTTCTCTGCCGTGATTTAAGAAAGATTGGGAGTAGAATTATCCAAAGATAACAGGGTCATTGAATCACTTAAAATTCTCCTCTACTTCATGCTCTTTCACATTGAACTCAGTATGTCTGGGAAATGTTTGCTTTGGCCACCTAAGGGGAAAGGATAGAGGAATACTAAAGTCCATGGATCATTTCTCTGAACTACATGGAAACTATCAACATTCTAATCTTGATTTATTGTTATTTCCAAGAAGAATATTTGAAAGCCTCTGACTGGAATCATGCAGCTTACTTTTTTCTGTTTTATGAGATTTCCTCAACCCCCATTCCCTCCATATACAGTTCCAAATTAGTTTTATAAGTATAATTTAACATTTAATGGCTATAATTTCAGTTTTTGGCAAATATTAAAGTACTTTGTTAACTCTTCCTAATCATGATCAAGATCTTTCAGATTTATTCCACTTGATTTAATTAATTAATTACTTTATTTATTTTACCTCTTTGGCTATATACCCAGAATCCTTCCAGTAGATGCCCATCCCCTACTTTCAGTTTGTTAAATTGAAAAAGTGGTCCTCTCCATTTTAAAACAGGTTAGGTTTGGATCCTGTCTCACCTGTACAGTGAGTTCATAATCTGATTAAGTTAACCTGCATTTCTGTTTCCACATTCCTCTGCCTCCACTCAGACCAGCCACGGTCAAGGAGGGCAAGGGAATTGGGTTCTGGATTCTCAAGGTCCTATAAACACCAAAGTGATGAAAAGACTGTGAAGCAGAGAAGGGAGAAACCCAGACATCCACCGGAGAACTGGGAAGACCTGGAAGAGCATCATTTATCTGAGAAGTCTCTGTCTTCTAGCTCATGCAAAGTGAGGGATGATCCCCAAATTGTCACTGAGCTGTGTGACAGGAAGTGGTCTGGCCATGAGAGGCCCCGGAGGCCTCCTCTTCCCAAGATCAGCGGAGAAGTGTTTCTGAGCACGGAAGCTGATGACCAGGAGGCTAGCAGTCGCCATCGGACTAGCAATTGGGACAAACATTCCAGACACAAAGACAGGCTTTCACCAAAGTCCTCTCCAAAAGCCGGGATTCACTGCAAGGAGGCTGCTTATGGGAGGGAGCGTGGGCATGGGGAGCGCAGAGAGCGGAAGCACAGGCCCAGGACTCCTCCCTTCTCAGAGAGTGAGGAGCACCTCCACCTCCATGACACAGGTAATAAAGGACTTGTTGTAAGACCTGGTATTGTGTATATGTATAAGCTGATGTATTTTATAAGCATATCAATCAACCTATTCCTATGTAAAATTTGGCTCCACGTTTATTTTATAAGATATTTCCTTAACCTCAAGTATTCAGGAAGAAGAAAAGTAATGGTGACTTTCCTTTTCTGGCTTCTGAGAGAGTTATCCGGTCCTTCTAGTCTGAGACTGCAGCGGAGGTGCCCATCCCAGCCAGATACAGTTCCTCCCTTGACAAGATCCTACCTCCAAGACTCAGATACCAAAGCAAAGCTCCCAAATTTCTGGTTTTGCTTCAGTGAAACCAGAGGATCTGGTGACACTGCCTTCGTAGCATTTGCCTAACTATATAAGACCAGTGGGGCTGGAGGTTCTAGAATTTCTTGCTCTTTATCTTTCCCATCTGCAAAGTGAGAGATTGGATAGGCAGTCTCTCAGGACACTGTTTTTTGTGTTGGGAGCCTCAGTCAGTTTTCATCAGAAGCACCTGAGCTCTTTCCTAAAAATGCATATTCTGGGTCTCCTACACATTATCGTCTCTGGAGTGTGGCCTGGCAATTTGGGCTTGCTTTAGACCTGGAGACAATTGTGTACTTAAAGTTTGAAAACCCTTGCCTTAGGTTCCTAATGTTCCTCAACCCTAACTCAATAGTTGTTCGGAGGTGCCAATATCAGGTAAGCTCCTGGTGCAGGCGCTTCACTTTATTGCACTTCACAGAAGTTGCCTTTTTTACAAATTGAAGGCAAGACCCTCTTCCAGCAAAAAGGTTATGACTCACTCTGTTGCTACACTCGCTCTATCGTGGTGGTCCAGAACCAAATCTGCAATATCTCCAAGGCACACATGCACTTTTATAGGAATGAAGAGAACGTTAGATTTAAGCTTTCCATTTCTGGCATCTCTGAGATTTAACTCTTAAGTCCATCATTGATACAGTGAAGGTTCTCTTTAATTTTGTCTGGAAACCTTGTTATAACACTTAAGTCATAGCACTGCTCTATCTGGTAGTAAAACATACTTACCTCCCTGGATCTATTTTACTCTTAACTGAAGTTTTTTAGAAATGCAAGGGTTATTGGGAAAGGAGTACCAAGGAGGCATCTGTTCTTGTTTTTCTTCTTTAGTGTTTGCCCAGCCAGCCTCTACTTCTGATCTGGAAACTGGTTTTGATATTGCAGATTCAGGTTGATTTAGTTGCTGCTTTCTATCAGGTTAATCCTTTAAGTTGTTAAAGGACTTGGTCAAAAAGAAAATGAAAATTCAGTCCAGCAAGCCATACTGATACTTGTCACGGATATTCTCATGCTTTGTGTTTGGGGACGTATGCTTACATCTGAGCCTTGGAGGGTTAATAATGAAGGCAAAGCTATGGCTGTGTAAACAGCAATTACAAATTAGATATACTTTGAACAGTGAGGTATGGGAAGCATAGTGGAGGAAGTGATATATTCTATCTGGAATAGCCTTTATGAGTGAAGATTTAGAAAGACATATCGGAGTCGTAAAGGTTTTGGAGAGGAGCGGTGATTATACCAACCCTATATTTTTGATTCTGTGAATCTGACCTTATAAGTGTGTTCCAAGGGCTTGTTAACCTTATGGCTTTTAGTTTATACTTGAGGTTATGTTAAACAGGCTTAGGAAAGGTGAAACTGATATAAAGCTAAATACTGAATTACAGACCCGACTATTGGAATTATAGGTAAATGTTTATTTTTATTTACTTTTTTTATTTTGCCAGCACAGAGGTTTAAAAAACAATGTGGCTGGGCAGGTACTAACATGGCTACTAACATAGGTGCTGTGTCTGTCATTTTGTATTCAACTTACTTTACAGATTTTAAACCTCTAGGCTAGTTTTTCCAAATCCTCTGGAAAAGGTCAGAGGGTTACATTAAAATTACTAGGCAAAGGTGTCTATTCTTAGTTACTAGCATTAATAACTTTTCTCATAATAATGAGGAAACTAGCATGAGGACAAATAGCTTGTTCTAAGTAAGCATTTGCAGAGTATGTTGAAAAGGGAATGCAAAATAAAATTGCTAAATTAAATATAAAATCGGTTAACCTTCTCAAGGCTAGGAGGGTAACTTTTCTATTTAGCTGTTAAAATCATGTCAGCCTGTTAATTTTCTGCAGGTTAACCTTCAACCTCTTAGGGTTATAAAATGCTGCATCTTTCTGCTATGACATTTCCCAAGTGTCAGACTGGCTTATTACAAAATATTATTGCATTATATTAAAGAATCTGTCATCGGTTTACCTTGTTCCTAGCAGAATTTATTTAAAGGTAAGTTTTATTTTTGTTTACTGAGAAAGGGTCTTATGTCTTTATACTGGAGAATGATAAACAGAAAAAAACAACAACAACAAAAAAACAAGCAAAATTAGATTAAAAAATGAATGTGGATCTGTTGAAAGTGAGTTTTCAAAATACATTTAACCTACTAAAATGAGGACAGACTTTCTCTTAATTTTTTTCAATTAACTGTGCTTTAAACTTTTTAAAGCATTCATGTTTTCTGAAATGACAGCCTTAGAGTGCACTGGCTGAAGTTCCAGAAATTATTCTGGGCTATGGAAATTTTCTACTAATGAGACATGCAAGTTCCAGTGTATAGCAAGAGATCAAATAAACTGTTTTCCCACTATATATTTGGAACTTAGATATCACCTCAAATTCTAACTTTTTATTGAGGTATAGTTGACATATAACTTTATACTAGTTTCAGGTGTACAACATAATGATTTGATATTTGTATATATTCTGAAATGGTTACCACAGCAAGTCTAGTTAACATCTATCAACATATACAGGTACAATTTTTTGTGTGATAAGAACTATTAAGATCTGTCCACTTAGCAACTTTCTAGTATGCAATACTAGGGGACCAGTGCAGGGATTCGTGCACCTTGAAAGGAACTGTGGGTCTCCAGACTGCAGTGGGCATGGAGTGGGTCTCCGCCCATCCTCTGTGCCCTGCGTGGCCCCTCCCACCTTGTCCCTGGTCCCTTGTCTGCTGGCAGCCCCACTCCCACCACCACTACTCCCATGCACTGACAGCTCTGGTCCCACTTGCACCCACTGATGGCACAGAGCAATTGGGGCTGGCACCAGCAGCAGGTGCAAGCAGGGCCAGCCCTGGCAGCAGGTGCATGCACTGGGCAGGACCTTGGTATGCAGGATAAAAGAATTTTCAGTAACCACCAGAGGCTCGCCCCGATGACAGTGACCAGCATCCTGCCTTGGTCTGGCATCCCTACTCACCTGCTTCACCATCCTGCCTGCCATATTCCATGCTGTGCTACCTGCGGCTGACGCCCTCCATGTTCCATGTGCACCCCCTGTGACCGGTTGTTCAGTTGTTCCGCTATTCAGTCTGTTTGCATATTAGCCTTTTATTATATAGGATAGTATTATTAACTGTAGTCAACATGCTGTATATTAAATTTCCATGACTTAGTGTTTTGTTTTGTTTTATAACTGGAAGCTTATACCTTTTGACCCCCTTAGTGAGATTGCCTGTTTTGCCACTGACCCCATCCCCACCTCTGGCAACCATCATTACGTATTTTGTATCTATGAGCATTTTTTTTCCTTAGGTTTTACATATAAATGAAATCATATGGTGTTTGTCTCTCTCTGTCTGACTTGTTTCAGTTAGCATGATGCCCTCAAAGCCTATCTGTGTTGTTACAGATTATAAGATTTCATTTTTTATGGCTAAGTAATATTCTATCACACACTAGAGGCCCGGTGCATGAAATTCATGCATGGGGGTGGGGTGAGTGTGTATCCCTCAACCCAGCCTGCACCTTCTCCAATTTGGGACACCTCAAGAGATGTCCAACAGCCCATTTAGGCCCGATTCCCTAAATGGGCAGTCAGACATCCCTCTCATAATCCAGGACTGCTGGCTCCAAACTGCTCGTCTGCCTGCCTGATTGCCCCTAACCACTTCTGCCTGCCAGCCTGATCACCCTCTAACCACTCCCCTGCCAGTCTGATCGATGCCTAACTGTTCCCTTGATGACCCGATTGCCCCTAACTGTCCTCTACTGCCAGCCTGGTCACCCCTAACTTCCCTCCCTTGCAGGTCTGGTTCCCCCCCAACTGCCCACCTCTGCAGGGCAGGTCACCCTCAACTGCCCTCCCCTACAGGCCTAGTTTCCCCTCAACTACACTCCCCTGCTGGCTTTAGCACCCACAACTGCCCTCCCCTGCTGGCCATCTTGTGGCTGCCATCTTTGACCACATGGCCATCTTGTGTGTTAGAGAGATGGTCGATTTGCATATTACTTCTTTATTTTATAGGATAGTTATGAGCCAAAAATGACATTTTAGTCACAGGCTGAATATATATGATGATGGTCCTAGTGGAATACAATGGAGCTGAAAATTCTCTATTGGATAGTAACATCATAGCCATCTCAGTGTCAGAGCCACAAGGCAGCTTTTTGTGGTGATGCTGGTGTAAACAAACCTGAACTGCCAATCTTACAAAAGTACTAAAAGCCTGGTGCATGACATGCACTTGTTTGGGATCCGGGGAGCTCTTGGGATGTCCAGCAGATGGTGAGTGGGTCTAAGCCTTCAGTCAGACATCCTTACCACTGGCGTGGAGGCAGGAAAGGCTCCTGCCACTGCTGCTGAGCTTGCCAGCCATGAGCCCAGTTTCTCTCTTTACCTATTAAAAAAAAGACTTTGCTGTAAAACAGTGTATCTCATTATGCCAGCAACAGCTTTCTACACCTCATGTTTACTCTATGTTTTGATTGCATCATTTTCTCTAAGATTTGCTCTCATGTTGCTTTGTACAGTAACATGCTATGCAGGCATGCAGCCTAGGAGGGACAGGCTGCGCAGTGTAGCCCGGTGTGCAGGTTGTATCATCTAGGTTTGTGTAAGTGTACTCTGTGATGTTCCCACAACGATAAAGCTGCCATCCAATGAATTTCTCAGAACTATCCTCCTTGTTAAGCAGCACATAGCTGTAATCCTCAGCTCCTTTAATAATTTATCCATCAGTAGGCTCTTAGGTTATTTCCATGTCTTAGCTGTTGTAAACAATGCTTCAGTTAACATGGGTGTATATACCTTTTCCAGTTAGTGTTTTCATTCCTTCAGATAAATATCCAGAATGGGAATTGAGGAGTAATATAGTAGTTCTATTTTTAATTTTTCAAGTAACATCCAAACTGGTTTTGATAATGGTTGCACTAATTCAATTTAACCAACTGTTCATAGTGGTTACCTCTTCTCCATTTTCTCACTAACACTTATTTTTTGTTTATAGTAGCCATTCTAGCAAGTTTTTTTTTTATTTGCATTTTCCTGTTAATTAGTGATTTTGAGCATTTTTTCATGTACCTATTGACCATCTGTATGTCTCCTTTGAAAAAAATGTCTATTCAGATCCTCTGTCCATTTTTAATCATATATAACTACTAGTAGCCCGGTGCATGAAATTTGTTTTAAAAGGGAATTAATTAGAGGAAATATTTTAATATTGCTATTTGCCCTTTCTCCATAATAGAAGTGTCAGAGATGAAAGAGAATTAATAAAATGTACATGAAAATCTCCCTTCTGTCAGAGTTTTGGGGCGTGCCACAGGATCTAGAGTCAAGTCCCTGCCCACTACCCGCACATGCTTCGAAAACGCAGGAGACCCAGACCTGGCCAGCCCCACCCCCACCCCGTCAAGCCCATCCAGGGAGGGGGTACGGCCTAAGGTCCCCGATCTGGCACAGGGAAGGAGGTCATGGCCCGAGGTCCTTTCAAGCCCCTTTGGGTGGGCGGCGCGGCCTGAGGGCCTCTATCAAACCCCAGCGGCAGGGGGCAAGGCCTGAGATCCCTCACCCCGGCCAGGCGCCATGCAGCCTCAGGTCCCTGCTGTTCAGTCGTCATGTTACAGTGTCTGGCCTAATTTGTATATTTCTCTATTATATAGCTAGATTGTATTGTATGAGTTCTTTATATATTTTAGAAAATACCCCTTATTAGTTCTGTGATTTGCAAATACTTTCTTCTATTTACAGTAGTAGGTTGCCATTGGTTCTGTTAATGGTTTCTTTTGCTTTGTGGAAGCTTTTTAGAGTGATTGGCCCCATTTGGTATTTTTTATTTTGTTGCATCTGCTTTTGGTGTCAAAACCAAAAAAAATCATCTCCAAGACCAATGATAAGGGTCTGACTGGCTTTGTTTTGCCTAGGAGTTTTATGGTTTTGGGTCTTATGCTTAATTATTTAATTCATTTTGAGCTAATATTTGCATATGGTGGAAGATAGTGGTCCAGTTTAATTCTTTTGCATGTGGCTGTCTAGTTTTTCTCAACACCATTTATTGAAGAGACTGTTCTTCCCCTCTTATATATTTTTGGTTCATTTGTTGTAAATGATCAGACGTTAAAGGTGTTTTTTTCCCCCCCTTTTTTTTTCTGGGCTTTTTATTCTGTTCCATCATTCTCTCTTTAGCTGCCAAGAGGTTACAGTCTTCTCAAAGTCAAGCCAATTAAGACTATTGCATTTGAATACCTTCCAAGGTCTTTGATAGATATGAAAACATTTTCTCAGTTAATTCTGTGATGTAGAGTCGGAGGCATAATTGTGGACAAAGATGAATACATCCCACTATATTGTTTCTTTCACTATGGATGGCAAAATTGAAGGGGCAAGGCATAAGGGTAGTCTTTCCTAGGCCTTGGGCTGCTCAATGTGTCATTTTTCTATAGATAGGAATATGATATAGCAATCTTTTGACTGCCCGATCTGACTGCCCAATATGAACTTCCTTATATAATTTTATTTATTTTGTCTAAAATATTCCTTTCTAGCTATGACCACACTAATCATAACTCAGGGAGGTTTATATTCCACTTAAATATGGTCCACTCTTGGGAGTGTGCTACTGTTTTGTGATTGTCCCAAACCACTCAGAAATCTGGATTAAAACCAGGTCCGCCAGCATAAGAGTCAGTAGCTCTAGAAACGATGGGAAGTTGAAGTGGATTCTCTTCTGGGCAATCATGTACTAATTGGCCTGCAGCTAAGAAAACCATGTTTAATAGTCTTATTTTGTGTGGGAAGGGCAGATGAGTGTGTGGCTTTAGATTTACCGCAAAGCTAGGTTCAAAGCTCTACTAAGAAAGGCTTCACCAGAAAACTTAAACTCTCTTCATCTGCCCAGAATTTATTGTAGTTTCTTGTCTTTCCTTTTTTCTTTTTTCGTTTAAAGCAAGCAAATCAAGTGTGGTGAGACATTTTGCTAAAAACCATTTTAATGTGTAGTTATTTGATGGATATAATACACTAAACTGATAGTTCTAATGCTAATTGTGAATAAGAATCAATTGTTAAAGATTTTTAAAAAACAAAATACTAAAGGCAAGATCTCTCCAGGCTACTTAAATTGGAATCCCTGGGATTTGGGTCAAGTTTTTATGTTTCTTTAAAGCACCACAAGTGATTCTAGTACACAGCCATGGTTGAGAAACAGATATAAAGAAATAGGCTGTCAGCAGTGTATTTTCTTTCTACTGTCAGCAGTCCTTTTACTGAAGTCACTATTTCAGATAGTTAATCTCATTTACTGCATTCAACATTTTTAATTATTTCTGACTATAATATATTCACATTGTTGAATAGTTGTAATTTAGAAAGGGCACAGAAGAGGGAAATATCCACAATTTTGAAATGACCATCAGCATTTACCAATCCATTAAAAGTTACAAAAGGAATATAGGAGGCATTTAAAATTTCAAAATGAAAAGCCCAAATCCCCCCTTGTCCTGCCTATTCCTTTCTCAGAGGAGTAGAACAGACATTGTGATCTGTTTTCTTTATGTTATACCCTCCATAAAATTTCACAGCAGTACACTGATCAGAGCTATAGGGGAGATAAGAAAAGCAAGTGGGCTTATTGGCCATCAGAACAGAAGCCACAGCAGGACCACTGGGTGCTAACAGGTTCTTGGTCACATGACTCCCCTGGAATGCTGTTCTGTTCTCTTGGAGGGAAGGTGTGATAAGCTGAGGCACATAGAGGGAAGCCTCTCATTTCCTTCAGTCTTGACAGTTTCGCTTCATTAAAACCTCAGCTCTGTACTTTTCTCTAAATTCTATTTATTTCATTGACTTAAATTTTTTTTTTTTTAATTTAAGAGGTTGGTTTTTTTTTTTGGTTTTTTTTAATGCATTCTATTGATTCTAGAGAGGAAGAGAGAGAGAGAGAGAGAGAGAGAGAGAGAGAGAGAGAGAGAGAGAGAGAGAGAGAGAGAATATGAATGAGAATTCTGGATCGGCTGCCTCCTGCACACTCCTCACCCTCACTGGGGATCCAGCCCAGACATGTGCCCTTGACTGGAATCAAACCTGGGACCTTTTAGTCCAGTGTTTCCCCAAAGTGTGGTACACATACCCCCGGGGATACGGGAAGAGTTTGGTGGGGGAATGCGTTGCACCGGAGTTTGGTGGGGATATGCACTGCACCGTGCTTAGCTGCGCCTAATTCTACTTTCTCATGAGTACGATGGGTACTCAGCGTTACGAAAATTATAGAAGATGTACACATATGTCAAAAGTTTGGGAAACACTGCAAGTCCATAGTCCATGCTCTATCTACTGAGCCAAACTGGGCTAGGGCCTTTTTTTTTTTTTTAACTTTTTGTTTTGCAAAAGCCTCACAGTTTCTTGCCTGATTTCCTATTCTTGAAGAAACTATGTGAGGGGGGAGGTTTTACCAGGCAGTGTTGGGTGGGTAACTTTGTGTGGATTATCTGCATCACCACTTCCATGTTTTAAGGGAAAAATTATTTCCAGTGCACCCTGCACTGAAATTTGGAGTGGCAGCAGTATTGTCAGTGTTAGATAGCAAAGAAAGGGTAAACTTTAAGGTAAAGGTTATATTTTTGTTTGTTTGTTGTTTTTATCCTAAATTTTGCAAATTTTTAGAAAACAAACGTGGTTGCCTTACTGTATTGAGTTTTTCTAGGAATGAAGCCGAGGGGCGTGAAAGAATCAGTCTCTACTCCATCGCGAGTTACCCCCAGAAATCAGGAATGGTATGATGCTGAAATTGCCAGAAAACTGCAAGAAGAAGAAATTTTGGTGAGTAAATTTTAATGCAGAAGTTCAGGTATATAAGGTTTTTTTGTGAATTGAGTCATTCTTGAGATTATCTAATAGGCATTATAATCCTTTATCAGTTGAGAAGCTTATACTTTTTTTTTTATTATCAGTGGAAAGAATCAAAACAACAGGATTAGAGTATATAGTTTTATTTACTGAGCAAGTGTTAGCAATTGAATTTCATACCCATATCTCTCCATTATTGAGTTCTGATAATTCTCTAAGAATCTGCTGCAGAATTTGGTTAAAAATAGACCCTGGGGATCCAGCCCACAACCCAGACATGTGCCCTTGACTGGAATCAAATGTATACCAACCTTAACCAACTTGAAAGATGTTAATCGCAACTAGCTGTCAAATGTATACCAACCTTTACCAACTTGAAAGATGTTAATCGCAACTAGTTTTAAATACCTGTTTATTTTTATGTAGGATTCTAAAAAAAGGACAGCATAGAATCCAATTAAATTTTTTGTTTGTATTTTCAATACTATAGGCTACCCAGGTGGATCTGAGAGCAGCTCAAGTGGCCCAGGACGAGGTGAGTTCATGGTAGTTAATGACTTTGTCTAGCCAATATTCTTTGGAAAGTAATTTTCTACCTGCAACTCCGTAATCAATGACAGTATGGATTTGATTTGTTTAGGAAATTGCTAGACTTTTAATGGCTGAAGAAAAGAAAGCTTACAAGAAAGCCAAGGAGAAATCGTCATTGGACAAACGAAAACATGATCCCGATTGTAAGGTAGGGTCTGTTTTTTGTCTCTTTGTCTGCTTTTTAAATGAGAAGTTAAATTAGAACTGTGAAGGGGACTCTGCTTTTAGGGTAAGTTCTGCAAATATATTTAGGTAAACAGATTATCTATAGCACATGTGCATCTGACTTGTGAAAGTTATTTTACTATAAAATATACTAAATTCTTGAACGTAACTACTTAAAAAGCTACTGCTAAGATTGAAAAATTCATTTAATTCATTTTAAGATCAACTGAAGTGCGAGTGCCCTCGGGTCATGAGCAATTTTAGTTTTACTATACTTACTTTACAGGAGAGCATAGTGTTTTCATGTGCTTTCAGATGGCCTTTTCTTCCTCTCTGTTCTTTCCTTATCTATATACCGTATATAAAAGACTAAGTGACCATTACGACCAGTCGCTATGATGCGCACTGACTATTAGGGGGCAGATGATCAATGCAGGAGCTACCCTCTGGTGGTCATTGTGCTTCCACAGCAGGAGTGCTGCTTAGCCAGAAGTTGGGCTCATGGCTGGCAAGTGCAGCGGCAGCAGTGGGAGTCTCCCGTCTCTGTAGCAGCACTACTGAGAGGTGATGGCAGGCGCAATGGGGCCTGGATGAACAGGAGTGGCACAGCGGTCCTGGCTTGGGCTCCTCCCTGGCCACCTCTTGCTTCATCCACTGCTACATCCCTTGGGGGATGTTGGACTGCCAGTCAGGCCTGCAGGGATCAGGCTGAAACCAGCAGTCCGACATCTCCTGAGGAGTCTCAGATTGCTAGAGGAACCCCACTGTTACATGAATCCATGCACCAGGCCTCTAGTGTACTAATATTGTGCTTCATCTCTGGTTATGTACCTACTAGAGGCCCGGTGCATGGAATTCGTGCATGGGGGGAGGGTCTGCACCCTCTCCAATCTGGGACCCCTTGGGGGATATTTAGGCCTAATCTTGAAGTCTGACATCCCTCTCGCAATCCAGGACTGCTGGCTCCTAACTCCTTGCCTGCCTATCTGCCTGTTTGCTTCTAACTGCCTCTGCCTGCCTGCTTGATGCCCCCTAACTGCTCCCCTGCCAGCCTGATCAACCCCTAACTGCTCTCAGTTCATTCTATTATAAAGTAATCTAATTGTTGTATATGGTGGCTGAAATTCAATTTAATGGACTTAACAGATTTGTTACTGTGTGCAAAGTATCCCTTTGAACTTAGAGAGAAAGACAGTCATATATTTTCTCACAATAATGTAGAATGTGGACAGGGAGACAGACTGTAGACTGCTAACAAATACAAGATCATGCTGGCTTATGAAAGCATAATGGAAGAACAAAGGAGGAGGGGGAGAGTTCATTTGGTAAAGTCTTTCTAGGAAGGGAGTTTATACTAGACAGGAGGATGAAGTGAGGGTCTGTATCCACCTGTTCTCTCTCTCAAATTCCTCCTCTGGGTCTCTGGTCCTGTCTGATTTTTGACCTTGAGGAAAGAAGATATAGAAAACATGATAATAATATTGCTTTATTTCCTATTGCTCATTTACCCAGTTGTCATACTAAAAGCAAGTGACAGGATTATTTCCATGTTAATTATTTATATTTATCTCCCTCTTTTACCCTCTTTATAATTCAAGATTTTTCCTAAGCTATTTCATTTTTAGTAGAAAGCTTCTCACATGCTTGTCCATTAATTAAGCTACAAATAGTTGTCCAGGAGTTATTCCATTTCTTTGTTAACCTGACTGTGAAGGACTAGGTATTTTTAAGGATTAAAAAATCAGAAAAGTAAGAGGCCACATTTCTATCAAGTATCAGAACTTCTGTGCTGTCTAGCTTTTTTAACTGACGCTGGTGCAGTTCTCTTTCTGAGAAAAATGCTATGAAATGGGCCTTTGTTTTCTGGCTTGGAAATCAGGTGTTCAGAAATAAGGGGAAGAGCACAAACCTAAGTTTTCATAGATTGGGAGCCCGCCAGTTCTTGTTAGCTGCTGTGTAGCTGTACTGTTAATAACGGGTGACCAGCCACAGCATATTCACCTGAAGTTAGTTAACCCACTCATCTGACTACATTGATAGCTTCCAATGTACCTTTGTGACTATAACTTTTTTTTAATCTCTAAGTGATTGTATTTAAAATAGTTTATGTTCTTCTATTGAATGTAAGTACTAATCTGAAATCATTAAAGGAGAGTAGTGTGATATAATTTAGATATTATCTATGCCTAATCGTTTTCTTTCTTTGTTTACTGGATGTGTTCTTTTTTTTTTCTTTTTTCTTTTTTCTTTTTTCTTTTTCTTTTTCTTTTTTCTTTTTTATAGCCCAAAACAGCTAAATCAGCACACTCAAAGACAAAAGACAGTGATGAACCTCACCGCTCTAAGAATGACAGGCCTGCACGGTAAGTTGATATCCTGCGGGGGATTGAGGACCTGACTTTTCCATGAGTGAGGAGATGTTGCCTGAGGGGTGTGTTTGTTCTTTGGGGAGGAGATCCAGGATCTGAGGTGATACCAAGTTGTGGGGTATTCTAAGACTTTTGTTTCCAGTCTTTTAAATTGAGTTTGAACAAATCAAATCAGAAAGACAGGGAATTTCTGCAAAGCTGGAGCATAGAAAGGAAGGACATGCTTTTTGTTAGGACCGGTTCTTGCCTATGTCTTCACTGAACTGATGCCCTCAGCTTAGAAGAGACCAGATTAACACTGTTCTGAGGTTCATGATCACATTGGTGGGATCCTGACATTTACACATGCTTAAATTCATTTTTGTGTGAGTCTCAGCTTCCTAGGCAAATACTCCTTGAGTCATTGCAGACCGTTCTAAATCCCACCAGGCCAAATGACTGTGGCTGTGGGATATGTACTTTCTGACTTCTCTCAAGCAGTCTTAGGCCAGAATAATGGACCAGCTGCTGTCTTTCCACCTCAAGTTGTCAGCCTCTAGGTCTCTGGGGAAGCAACCTTTTCTTTTTTTCTTCATTGCTTTCTGTTGCTTTTAAAACGAAAATATGATAGGAATAGGAGTAAAGAACATGAAATATAAAATGGCAACACTAAATGTGACATTTTGAGAACTTTTAATTATTGGGACCTTGAATTTTGGTCCTGATTTTTAATAACACTGAAAATATACACTGTTATTGCCCTTTATTGCCCACAAACTGCTCGGCTAATTTCCTTAAAGTGAATGTATTTAGTGACCTTTAAAAACCACCCTCTATTTTTAAACTCAAGGTTTTCCGAAGATAAATACCCTTTAGAAATTTGTATCAGGTTTGTAAAGCTCTTAGTGCAACAGTAGTGTAGTTTAATCACGAAAACTAAGTTATTCTTGTACCTTTTAGCTAAGCAGATGCGAAACAATTTTTAAGCAGATTTTAGTACTACATGGTTTAGTTTTATTTACATCCCTAAAATATCCAAGTAAAGTAACAGCTAACTAATCTATTCTCACTAGGTCCTTAGATGTAGTTTCTTATACTTTTTTAGTCAAGTGCGTTAAAATCTTTAAGGTTAATTTGCCATCTTGAAAGTCCAGGGGCTCTTTAGAACAGTAATAACTTTATAGCAGATAATGTAGAACACTCAGGAATGGCCATTAAGAAGGTTTATTAAAGTTGAAAACATGTTTTGGGACTGTAGTAGACACTCTTAAAAATATTTGGCATATTGTAAGAATAAATAAATGAACATGTATTAAAAATGGCTCTTATAAATAAGTGAAAAGTTACGTAAGACTATTCAAACTGAAATCTTATTTCACCTGAGAGGAACATTTATCTTTAAATATCATTTACACAAAGATTGTGTGTGTGTGTGTGTGTGTGTGTGTGTGTGTGTGTGTGTGTCAAAACAAATATGAAGAATTGTATGTAACCTGTATGTTCCCAGTTAAAAATTACAGCTTATTATCTTAGCACTATCTGTGCAACTATAATAATATCAGAGTGCATGCTTTCTGGTTAGAATCTTTGTATTTCTCTTTTGAAATTAATTATGGTATTCCTGGCTGGGTCGCTCAGTTGGTTCAAGTGTTATCCTGTACACTAGAAGGTTTCAGGTTTGATGCCCAGTTGAAGAGCATACAGGCAGCCAATCGATGTTTCTCTTTCACACTGGTCTCCCTGCTTCCTCCCTCCTTCCCTTCCTCTCTCTTCCCCTCCCTCTCTCCCTTCCTCCCACCCTTTCTCTTTCCCTTCCTCTCTCCCTGTCTTTCCCTTCCTCTCTCTCTAAAATTAATAAAAAATATGTCCTCAGAGTGGGTTTAAAAAAAAAAATTAGTCATAGTAGAAAAGTTCAGCCATTTGTATAGAAAGAAATGGTTTCAAGGATTGAAAAATGTGAATCTGCCTGGGTCAAGATGCTTACTTCAGTGCAGCAATGATAGCAACAGAGGGGATGCAGAGACTCAGAGCTCGCAGCATTTTTGGTCAAAAGTCAATTTCTTTGTCTGTTATAAGATGTTCTTCTCTTTCTAAAGAACTAGGGAACCAGTGGCAATCTAAATGAATTATACCACTTTGTAATCGGAAAATGTTTCAACCCAAGTTCCAAATTCTTTTAACTATAGGATTTTATAGTGGAAATACTACTTGGTATTTTATTTTTCTCTGTAGTTTTGAATGAAGACACAGCCACTGATAATGTACACCACTGTGGCAGAGCATAGTAGGGTGGTTAAGAGAACTGATTTTGAAGTCCATGTGAGTTTGAGCCCTGTCTCTGCCACTTCACAGTTGTGTGAACTTGAACAGATCACTTACCACATCTTATCTAACTCAAAAATATGTGTATGATAGCTACTGTGCAAGCTTAGCTTAAAAGTTAATTGAGATGTATTCATATAAAATTCATAGTAGAGTCCTTACTGTATATTTAAGTTTACATCCCATGCTGACTTCTTGTAGATACTGAATATACAGGTGAGGCCTACCATTTGCGGATAGGGTGAGAAATTTGAAAATACTTGATTTTATTTTTATACAACAGAACCTATTGTACCTATATAACTAACTTTCCAAACTTCAGACTACTTATGCCTTCCAGATTATATATTTAGTTCACAAAATATCCTACAATATGGTTATATGTTGACAAATCTTAACCTTATGTAGTTCCATGCTGTAATGCAACGTTTGAGTATACCTTTGGGAAACAACGGAAAATAAGATATTCTATTCTTAATCTTCATTAAAGCCAAATGTTTGCAAAAATCTGTTACATGATTAAAATAATAAAAAGTTTAGAGCAGTATAAATTTTCCAATGTTTTTTCCAATGTTTTCTTTTTACTTGAAAAGTTGCCAATTCATGACTGCCTTTTCCTTTTCTAAGCTCTACTTTGCCACCTAGTGGATTAAAGAATTTTGCAGTAAATTTTGTGTGTTAAACAATGTTCCCTCTCTTCCCCTCTCCCTGGTTCCTTATCTTTCTTTATTACTTTCTTCGTTTCTATTCTTTTCTGTCTTCCTCTTTTTCTTTGTAAAACCTACCAAAACTAAGTAAATTTTTCATTAGGGACAGTGGTCACATCACATTAATTTTTGTTCCTCTAGTCCTTAGCACAATGCCTCACACATACTGGGTATTCAAAAAATATACATTTTTATTGAACTATGTGCATACAAACAAAGGAACAATAAGATAAAATAATTTATCCAAGGTCATGCAACTGGCCAGGAACTAAACTGAGAATTCTCAAAATTCTGACTTGGCATTTGTACCAAAAATGTTTTTACCATGTGACCCAGTGAGCAGTAGAATTGTAGTCACCAGTGCTTAGAATATCTCTAAATACAGACCTTCCTCCAGGCCACCACCACCTACCATGACAGATGCTGAGGATTTGGATTACACTTATTCCACACGCCATTTCTCAAAATCAGAGTCTTCTCATAAAGGTAAGAAAAATATATATGGTCAAGTGTGGGATCTTATTTTAAGTAATCCTTATGGTATGGAGGAAAAATCAAATGCTGGGTTATAGATCACTGGAGTGGAAAAATTAGTTATCCTTCCTCTCCACAGAGCATTATAATATTCTTCATTTATTAAAAATAATTTTTAAAAATAGAGAAACAAAACACCTTAAATTGAATCAAGATTTTCTTATCTATTTTCATTCTTCTGCAGAGAGATTTCATTGCTTTCATCAGATTCTTAAAGGATAACTGTGGCCACCATTTAGATTTCCTGGGATTTGTCTGTTTTAGCTTTTATTCCCATCTGCCCAAAACTTTAGTTATTGGAGTTAAAAGTACATACATGTGTATACATAGAACATAAAACACTTATGCAAAAGAAAAATGGGACAAAGAAAATGAGGAAAGAATATGAGATTTAGGTTGGACCATATCTTTAGAATGAAACTAATGATTGAAAGTGTTGAATATAGTTCTTTAAAGCATATGCATTCACTAAAGTGTATTTTTAAGATAGTTATAAAATGAGATGACGAAGTACTTTCTTACATTAATTTTCTCATCTAAAAATGGAGATAAAATTTTAATAGTATCTGTGTTGTCAGAGTCATATAAGTAAAATATCTGAAAGCAGATTGCAGTTGGCTTGCTAGATATTGATATTTATTATTTCTTATGGTTTCTTCAAAGATTTATTAGGTAATGTTTTTATTATCCTTTTCCAAATCTAATATTCCCAAACATCTTTAACTTTTTTTTTTATTTTGTAGTCATTACAAAATACCAATATAGAGATGCCACTCCAAACTAATTACATCAGAATTTCAAGGGGAGGGAGGTTGCTAGTCATTGATATTTTTTAAAGCTCTTTTGCCCCAACCCCTCCATTCTGATAATCATCTAATGTTGAAAATAAGACATTATTTAAAAGAGAGGATTAGTTGGACTTTATCAAAACAACATATAAATTACAATCTCATTCTTTGGTGGCCTTTTTACTATCCTTGGTTTAATGGGAAGTAGCTCATGATTTCTTTTTTTCTTAAACTATAAACCTGCATTACTTTTTAAGGGGTGTCTTTCTGTTCTTGACATATACTTAGTACATAATGTTAAAACAATACATTGATTCTTTCTTTAAAAATAATATTTTTATTGATTTCAAAGAGAAAGGGAGAAGGAGAGAGAGACAGATAAATCACTGATGAGAGAAAAACATTGATCGGCTGCCTCCTGCATTTGCCCCACACTGGGGATCAAGACTGCAACTTGACCATAAATATCATAGAACTGTGACCTCCGGGTTCATAGATTAACTGTCAACCACTGAGCCACACGGGCAGGGCTACCACATTGATTCCTTATGTAAATATTTTGTAATTAAGAGCAAAGAAAATATGACTCACTTGAAATGTATAGATAAATAACATTAAAAAAAATAATAAAGATAAATAATTTTGCCCAAGCAGGGAGAAAAACTAAGTTTCAAGATTTATAATTTTTTACTTCTTAAAGTATTTTAATTATAGTTGACAAATAATGCTATATTAGTATGAGCTGTACTACACAGTGATTAGACATTTATTTAACTTACTAAGTGATCACCTCAATAAGTATAGTTCCCATATGACACTTTGAAGAATTATTCAAATATTATTGACTATATCTCCTATACTGTACTTTAATCCCTGTGGCTATTTTTTGTAACTGCCAATCTGTATATCTTAATCCTCTTACCTTTTTCACCTAATCTTCCAACCCACCTCCCATCTTGCAGTCATCAATTTGTTCTCTGGCTCTCTGAGTTTGTTTCTACTTTACTTTGTTTTTTAGATTCCACATATAAGTGAAATCATATGTTTGTTTTTCTCAGGTTTGTTTCACTTAGCATAATACCCTCTAGGTCCACTCCTGCTGTCCCAAATGGTGAGATTTCTTATTGAATTGTATGTATGTACTACAACTTTTCAATCTACTTGTCTATAGATGTACACTTCGGTTGATTTCATATCTTTTCATATCTTGATTTCATATCATTTCATATTGTAAATAATGCTGTAGTTAATATAGGGTTATGTATATCTTTTTTAATTGGTGATTTGGTTTCTTTGGATAAATACTTCAAAATGGAATTGCTCAATCTGTGGTAGTTAACTTTTAAAGGAACCTCCATATCATTTTCCATAGTGGCTGCACCAATCTGCATTCCTACCAACAGTGCATGAGGGTTCTCTTTTCTTCCCCTCTTCGCCAACACTGGTTTGATAATTTATTGATGATAGTCATTCTAACAGGTGTACGAGGTGGTATCTCATTGTGGTTTTAAATTGCATTCTCTTATGATTAGTGATGTTGAACATCTTTTTAGATATCTATTTGCCATTTGTATGACCTCTTTGGAGAAGTGTTTGCTCAGGTCCTCTGCCAATTTTTAAATTGATTATTTATTTTCATGGTGTTAAGTTGTTTGTCTTTTATGTTATATATTTTGGATGTTAACCCCTTATGAAATGTATTATTGGCAAAGATCTTCTCTTCATTCAGTAGGTTGTCTTTTTCTTTTTGTTGATGGTTACCTTCATTGTGCAAAACCTTTTTACTTTGATGTAGTCCCAGTTGTTTATTTTTTTTCTTTTGTTTCCTTTGCTTAAGGACACATATCCAAAAGAAATATTGCTAAGAATGGCATCAAAGAGTTTACTGCCTGTGTTTTCTTTTAGGAGTTTTATGGTCTCCAGTCTTATATTTAAGTCTTTAGTCCATTTCGAAGTTACTTTTGTATGTGATATAAGAAAGTGATGTTGTTTCATTCTTTTTCATTTATCTGTCCAATTCTCCCAACACCATTTATTAAAAAGATTGTCTTTACCCCAATATATATTCTTGCCTCTATTGTTATAGAGGAATTGACCATATAGCCACGGATTTATTTCTGGGATCTCTATTCTGTTACATTGATCCATATGTCTGTTTTTATGCAGTGCCATAATGTTTTGATTATTATAGCCCTGCAATATGTTTGATATCTGGTAGTATGCTACCTCTAACTTTGTTCTTTTTCTCTAATAAGGGTTTACTGCACCTATTTGGGATATTTTGTGGTTCGTTATAAATTTTAGGATTCTTTGATCTAGTTCTCTGAAAAATGCCATTGTTATTTTGATAGTCATTGCATTGAATCTGTAAATTGCTTATTTTATTTTTTCCCCCACAAAGCTATGTTTATTGATTGCACAATGGTAAATCACTTAGCAATGAATAAAATACTAAGAATTACATTATAACATTAAGTTAACTGTAAACACTACTTATTTAAGCTACTGTGGTTTTTCATAAGATATTGTTACAGATCAAATATATGCACATTCCCCCCCCTTGACCTCTCCCCACCTGCCCCCATCCCCTTATTTTATTTTGAAAGTTTTTTTTTTTCTTAATGTTGTTTCTTCTTTTTTTCCTCTCTTCCCCAGGTTTCCATTATAAGCAGTAAAAACCTAGGAATCTGCCTTGAAAATGGACTCACTGTAGCAAATATTACTGGATGATGCAGAATGCACTCCACATTTATTTTTCCTCCTCTGTTTGTACTCCTGGGATTTATCCTCAATGTTTTTCTGACCATAAATAATTTTAATGCATTTAAAATATTTTGGTTATTTCTGATCACTTGGGCAGTACAAGAAACTTTAGCTTCTGAATATTGACCACCTTTACACTGCATATACTTCCATGGATATAGTATCTAAGAGATCTATAAAGTGCCATTTTTTCTTAGGTATGAAATATTGGTATCTAGGGACTACACTTTATTTAGGAATTAGAATTTAGTGAAGATAATGATCAAGGTAAATAAAATAATGTTTGGATGAAATGCAGATCAGAAGAGTGTAAAAACAGTTGTTTTGGGATTCATTAATATATGATATATTGAAAGAGCCTTTTGCTTTTTGTACTCTTTAGGAAAAGAAAAAAAAAATCACAACCATAAAGTATTTTTAAAAGATCATACTTGGAACAATTGAAATGTGTTACTCTGACTATCAGGACTATGGAGGTTTTGCAGATTCTTATACATACTCTCCAGGGAAAATTGGCTTAGATGTTCTCCTCTAACACTTTCTTGCTATTGCTTCATCAATAGGTCAAGACTTCTGAAGCCTATGGGCATTGCCCATTGATTAGTATTAATTGAAAAAAAATAATTCTATAATATCCTAACTCAGGCCTGTGTAAAGTCCACTAAAAATGAAAACTTTCTATCCCTTTTTTTTACATTCTTTTATATAGCCAAGGCAAGTAGAATTGGGAAGAGGTGTTTATAAACGATGATTTCATTATTCTCTCTGGCCATATATCCAAGTTTTCCTCTTGCTTAAAACACATAGCAATATTTGTTGACAACCTCAAAAATATTTTATGTATTTCTCAATAAATAGATAATTCACCATCAAGTCGAAATTAATAAAGTACTTCTTTATGCATGTATTTAGTTCTACACATCATTAGTGATATATGGTCATTTGAACCTTTATACAAAACCTTTAAACTCCTCTTTAAGAAATAGTCTTTGTTTAACTGCAAACCTTATGGAAATGCTTGTTTTCCTATACTAGTTAGTTAACACAAATGTCAATCACACATCATCCCTTCAACTTGACTGCCTTTTAAGTTTTCACTGTATGAATCTGACTTTTTTGACATTCTAGTACAGTTTTCGTTTAGGAAAGAAATGTATAGGTGACTTGAAAAAAGTTCATAATCCATTCTTTTCCCATTGGGAAATGCCTTCAGTTTGCCTTATCTTTCCCAATAGACTTTAAAGTCAGGCAATATTCAGGAAGCTATTAAGAGTAGTTTTGAGAGTGATGTGGGTGTTTCATTTTGAGAAGGGTCTTTAGTTTCAGAAAGTGTTTGGATTGTAGGAATTTGGGCAAAAGATATCTAAGAGTTAACTTTGAGGAGCATGATAAAGAAACAAAACCGTAAGGGAGGTAGTTACTTCAGAGAAACTGGGAAAGGCAAAATAACAGGACTTTGAATGGCCTTGATGAAAGGCATGAATAAAAAGCCTTCATTTAGCCAATGGCAAACAAAATGGGGTCCTGGCCTTAAGTCCAGTTGCAGAGAGGGTGGTTTCAATATCCAAAGCTTAGGCCTTGTTGACTTACATGTTTTTTTGTCTGCCCTGTGATTTTGCTTCATGTTTTTAAAAATTTTTATGGTAGCTTTAAAGAAAAAAAGCAACAGTGTTTTCTTATTTGATAATTAAGCAAATGAACAATATAATTTGACATATTTTTATTTTATAAATGTTTATTTTTATACTCATGCAATGATCATTTTTACTTTTTTAAATTTTGCATTCCTCTTGCTTCTTATGTACTTTATTCAATTTTATTTATTATTATGAAATGCTAACTGGCTATATTTCCTTCAAAACTGTCAGGTCACTTCACTTAACACTTTACCAGAATGTTAGTATTTCAACTGTCTTAGTGAGTGACCAAAGGTGGTATTTCCTTTGTGACACCCAATTCAACATTGTATTGAAAATTTGATTTTTTTTTAAGGTTTTTAAATGATTAGTATTTTTAGAACATTTTAATTTAACTTAATTTTTATTGTAAAGCACATACTCTTTAAAGCATATCAGAGTAATTCTTCCCCTGTGAATAAGGAGACAGAAATCAAACTCAACCAGCTAAATCCTCTTATTCTCATTCAAATAATGTAATTAGCTTTGAAACTATAAAAGCAACTAACAATGATATTTTTAATGAACTGCCAAACGTTCTTCACTGTGTTCTCTGCTTTTCACTTTGTCATTTCTATATAAATGTGGAAGCATTTATTTTTTCCTGTCCCTACTGCTGGAACACACACAGTTTTAATTTTTAGGCCCACAATGTATTATGCTTTAATGTTGTGATGTAAACAAATGATTCTGGCCTTGGGAAACCTTTCTGTTTCTATACCTCTGTTCTCTGGAGGCCAGGCTCTATTAGCACCAGTATTGCTGACTGAGCACAACGTGTTAAGGAGCCTTATTCTGGACAGATAACAGCCCTTTCCCCCAACCTAACTTGTTGTAAGTCATTGCCTAATAGCAAAGTGAGATACGGTCAGCTTAAATGGTCTGAGTTGAAAAAAAAATTTTGATTCTAGTGTCAAACCATCGTCAGCCATATTATTTATTAGGAGACAAGACAGAACTACACTCACTTTAAGAGAACACTGAAATTTTTAGAAAGGCACTTTGCATACCACTGAGTTACTGTTTCTCAAATGTCTTTACAATAACCAGCAATGAACAGTGTAATGAATGGCAAGAAAGACTGTATGGCTTTTGATCATAGAAACACGGGAATTAGAAGAGAAAGATAATGGATAGTTGCTCTCAGGAGGAAAACCTTCTCAGAATGGCAGTGGTCACTTGGATCTAGATCAACATATTCCAGAAAGGGTGATATTTGGCCTTGTGTTCAATAGAACTTACAAAGGAAATTATGAACTGGACCCATTTTCCCTTTTCTTCTCTACTGTGGCCTGAAGCCGAACTTGGATGATGAATATGCATTGCTGACTTTGATAATATTTTTCCCTCAGTATCAGGACTTTCTGGTGTAAAAATAATTAACTTTTAACTGATAATTATTTTTCTTTAATACTGTCAAATATTCTTTAAATTTGTCTTGTGCCAACTGGTTCTTTGGGAACACCTGTTATAATATGGTGCATTCAGTTTACACGTAAGTGGTTAACATTTTAGAGCCTTGATTTTTAACGAGTGTTGCCTTTGTATAAAAATTACTTTGGGGAATATCAAGATTATTTATTTATTCAGTGGAAATGTCCTTAAAAGGTAACTGTGGTGATTGGCTATAAGATCTTCAGCCAAATAAAGGAACCCTGAGTAATCAGCTTTTGGAGGGACTGAGAACAGAATAGAACTTGCATTCAAGGGCTTCTTTCTCTTTTGGGAAAATAGCAGTTGTGTGGGGAATAGTCATGTGGGAGGCAAACACTGACCAGGTAGACTCCCCTGTATATAATGTGCAATATTCTGATAGCATTGGCTTTTTAGAAACAGTCATAAAAAAATAAAAACCTGTTCTTTTAGCAAAAAGGAAAAAAACAGATTTTTAAAATACTTTGTTCATTACTTACTGCTCTTAGTTAGAGAAGTGACTAGATAAATGGTCCCATTTTCTCCTCACATCTGGTGGTGCCTGTAAGTCTTAAAGCCATAACTGCTTATCTTCCTATTGATAGAATCCTGTTTTCCCCTTAGCCCATAATAGGTAATATGGACAGGGAGAAGCCAACTGGAGACTGTCCCGAAAAAGCTGCATGGGGCACAGAGTCATCCAGATTCCTGGTGGAAGAACCTTTGCTCCCCGCTCATTACGGGGAAGGGTCAAGGCTGCTGTTGCGCTTGCCATTTAACTGTTGTTGGAAATGTTGAAATGTGATTGTGGAGAGGTCAAGAAGGAAGAGGTAAACTGGGACAGTCTCACTTCTACAGTCACTTTTCTGATAAGACCTGCACTTTTTGTCAGCAATGTCTGAGGAGCAGTATTGCCTTAAATTAATTTGATTCTAATCGAGGTCAGAGTATTGTACTTCTTAGCATATAAATGACTGTCAATTCTCCATTGAGATATAAAATTCACAGGTGATCCCCAAACACCCTTGCCATCAGGAGCTTTGGACCTCCTTCCACTTAGCTATGGGTAACCTATACACTGACAGGTAGATACATCATTTCATTTCAGGTTGCCTCTCTGTCTGTGGATGAGCAGAAGAGGGAGGAGAAAAGTTCCTGGCCAGATCTTTCAGGTTATCACTTCCTGAATAATTGGCAGTTGATGTCTTTTCTCATTATGACTATGTAGAAGATATTTCTAAAGGTTCTATTATGCATTAAAATCAACTCATTGTTTTATAAGAATTTTATCAACACTTTTATGTATTGAAATGCATCCTGTTAATAACAAAAAGAGAAAACTGAACAAAATAGAGACCTTTACTTGAAAAGGGAGATTTATTGGTGTGAAGAATCTTCTGGTTTATTACTTTTAGCAGAAAATTTACCAGAAAGACTTCTGCTATCATAGGGAAGACACCAGAGTTTTTTTAAAGATTATTTCTGATACCACAAACACACATAATCATCTAAGTCATGTTGGTTTGTGGAAATACCTAGTCCTAAAAACCATTCTTTCCCTTAAAAATTTGTGAAAACTGCCTAGAAACACATTGCATAGGGAGCCAGCATTATGCTGGTTTTAGCATTTTCAATAAGGACAAAATTAATTGTATAGCTCAGTGCTCCATTACTTATCGCTGATGTTCATGTGAATAGAAGAATAGAATAGAAGAATTGAAAGATAATTTGAGTGACATTTCCTTCACAAAAGAGGAAGGATTAAGAACAGCGAAGAAGTTGAGAATATCCTGTTACTCATCATATGCTCGGGATATGTTTTTGTTGTACTGAATTTCAGACCCTCATTGCTAAAATAGCTTCTAGCTGTTAAATTTAGAAAGGGTTTTTGATGTCAAGATATTTTTAGAATTTTTGGTTGGATTAGTCTTTGAAGTCCCTGCAGGTTATAACTTCAACTCAACTCTTGCTATAAACCGAAAGTCCAATGCCCTTCCTCAAAAATAGCTGTATTTTTCACCTGCTCTTCAGGGCGACCCAATATTTATTTCATGAAGTATTGTGAATAAGGATGAGGTATAGTGGGAAGATAGCATATAAGAGTGATGATCCAAAATGAGAATTCTCTGGAATGGTGTTTTCCTTACGAAGAATCCATCCCAGCACAATATTATATTTTGAAAGGTGCTGAATTATAAAGTACAGGAGAGCTCATATAAATCAAGTTGCTCAGGAAATGTGAGGTGGTGCTGTCCTTTGTCTTACGATTTGGAAGAATGCTCTTTTGAGAGAGAGCCTGCCCAGTACCAAGGCATCTTCATATTCATTGATAAGAAACCTTTTGACATTTGCAATGTAAATATGTTTAAACTCGTGACTTTGTCCCAAGTGCTGGTCAGTTTGTATCCAAGCCCCAGAGGGAACGTCAGCTTTAAAATTGTTGTTCCATGGAGCTGAAAGGAACCTTGAGGAAAGACAGTTGCCTGAGGCCACCTCAAACCACATGCCTATCTAGAGATTCAGTAAAACTGTGAGGGACTCTTCTGTGAATGCCTTAAAGGTGACTGATGTTGGGAACTGGTGGGTATGTGTTTACCCATCTGAACTAGGCTGATGGAAACATGCTATTTTAATTCACCTTCACACAGCACAAGTCGTTCCTGCTCATGACCTCATCAAGGAAAACGAGAAACATGGTGCTGGTGACTTCCATGTGTTTTGGGAGGTTGAGGTGGGAATGTCATTTTGGACTCTCCAGTGCTCAAGCCTCCCTTAAATGCCACTTACATGTCTACATTAACTCATCTATGCAAGCTTGTACTTTTTATGGTTTGTTTTTGACACCTGTGTCCCATCTGATTCTTTAAACATCAGGATTAACATCAATATTATGAATAATTTTTAAGCCAAAGTATTGTATAAGTCTGTGTGCTTGTTTTCCTGGATGGTCTGAAGCAAATACCATTATTGTCCTTTTCTCTGAATAAAGTCATCCATTTGTTAAGTCAACAGTCTCTGCCTCATGTTTTTATTGCCTTCAAGGACTTAGGAAGTTTTGTGATTATTATTTCTTTCCTTTCTAATATATCTTTAATTGTGATAAAAGGTTAACTTACTCCAGAGCCACCCACTTTCTATAACCACCTATAGATGTACAGTACCGATGTACAGTACATTGTAATTCTTAGCAAATACACCCAAGGCTAAAATTGGTTAGAAAAGTGCCTTTGTTTTGTGTGGTAGTGGCTTAGCTGATGTTATTTGGAGTAGAGGGGAGCGGACCAAATATGTGGATGTTCATACAATAATCCAAACAACCAAGGACACCATGGGTGCAACACCTTACTCTGCCCCACACATGACATTCATGGATTTTAAAAATAGATATTAACAACTACCATTTAATATTGCCTTATAAGGATTGTTTGTTTATATGGCTTGAGACAATAACCATGACGTGGAAGCTAATTCTACAGAAATTTAGCAGGTTACTTAAAAATAAGATACTATTTTCAGTGACCATTAAACTGATTTTTAAAGCGGTCACTCATTAGTTCCAAATCCTCCAGGCTTCTTTTCTTTGGCCAATGTTACAGGGAATGTAACTGATCTCTATGATATGTCTATGCCATACATCATGGCCAGCTGCCCCAAGAAACACCGTGATGTGCAAGGGTTATTTTATGTAGTTAAAAGTTTGTGTGTTAACGTCAGCCTTTAGTTTCTAAAGAATTACTAGGTGAAAGTTACCAATGATAAAAGTTGACACATCTAGAAACCAATTAAAAATTAAATATGTAATTAAGGTAGCTCCCTTGAATCTGTGGGAGGAAGTACCTAATATGATTGGATGGATATTTTGAGTACCACTGAATTGTAAGTGTGGAAAGGTAGCACACTATAAAGCCTCTCCTTAAAAAAGGCAGCCAGGAGAGCATTAGACACTGAGCTACACTTTGGAAATTTGGAGAAATCTTTAAGCACACTTTGGACTACCACTTGCAAGTCATAGTATAGGGTTTTGAAGACAATTCCACCCCATTCCAAGGGCAGAAAAACCACTTGTTTTAAATATTTCTATGATATAAACTAAAGTCCACCTCATTCCTGTGCTATAGGAGTTTGCTTGAATTGAGGATGTCTGGGCTTTGCTATAAACTTGCTTCAGGACCTTGGGACACCAGTTAGCCTCTAACCTGGGTTCTTTTACTTGAACACATCCTTGCAGGGAGAGCTGGTGGTCCCTAACTCCAGCTCTAACGTTCTAGGACAGTGGTCGGCAAACTCATTAGTCAACAGAGCCAAATATCAACAGAACAACAATTGAAATTTCTTTTGAGAGCCAGATTTTTTAAACTTAAACTATATAGGTAGGTACATTGTTACTAATTAGGATGCGTGGTATTTTGTGGAAGAGTCACACTCAAGGGGCCAAAGAACCGCATGTGGCTCACGAGCCATACTGTTCTAGGATTCTTGCTCCCAAGGGCTGCTAGGTTTTTTAGATGCTCTGGAAAGAGAACAGCCTCAGTCACTCCTGGGGCCTAGAAAGTCCCAAAGACTTTCTAGTCATTTCTTTGTAAGACTAGAGATCCGGTGCATGAAATTAGTGCACAGGGCCGGGGGAGGGTGTCCCTCAGCCCAGCTTGCACCCTCTCCAATCTGAGATCCCTCTCACCATCCAGGACTGCTGACTCCCAAATGCTCACCTGCCTGCCTTCCTGATTTCACTCTGCTGTCATCCTCTCAACTCCACTAGGTGGACCTCTGAGAGCTCATGAAAATGGAAGGCACTGTGACTATTACATGGTTGGTCCATGTCAAACATGTGGAAAGGCATTCTTTACCCAAAGTCTGGGAGTGCGGTTATTTCCCTAATCACAGCCCTTTCGTTCTGCCCCCACAGGCTGGCGGCCACCTCTGGCCAAGCTCTCTCAGGGCACCTCTAAGGCCCCTCATAGGCTGGAATGGGGCATGGGCACTTCCTATCCTCTCCCTTGCTGAGTGAGGGCGGGGGCTGTTCTTGGTACTTAACACATCAACAACTGTCTCAATGCAATTTAAAAATGCATCTTTACTTTCCCAGTTTTTTTATGTCTTTAACATACTTGAGGATTTTAGGAGTTACCCAGCCATTTTTAGCATCTACTTTGACATTTATGCATAATACTCGATAACTTTAGAATTTAGCATCCATGGCATGTTGTAAAGTGGAAATACAATGCAAGTCAGATATTAATTTTAAGTATTTTAGTAACCATATTATAAAAGTGATGAGGTAAAATTAATTTTCATAAGATGTTTTATTAACCCAGCGAATCCAAAATAGGATTAACAAGTAATGAGTGTAATAATTAGTAATTATTATTTTAAATGTATTTTTAAATTTTATAAACTGCAAGTTGATTGATAAATATGCAATGGTGTGATTTAACCTTCACCAAACTGTCAAACCATATTTTTTACTTGTACCCACATTTTGCCAGCAGAGGGAGCGCTAAGCTGGCAAAACAGCATAAACCTTGAAGTTCTCAGCATCTTGGCACCCTTTCAACTGGATTGGCTGAGTGTAAAAACCAATGCAAAATAACACTTTATGAAAGTATTATATGTTAATTATAAAAATGTTAAAATATAAATAGAATCTAATGTATTGCCAATACACCCACTGAAAGACAGTTTAGTACCAGATTCTTTTCTGGGCATAGGATTTAATTCCTTGTAATTATAGTCATATTAAGGGGAGTTAGAGTTTGGGAATATTTGAGCATGTTTAAAAGCTGATGGGTATAATCAATTATAGTGAAGAACTTGCACTGCTATTAGAGAGAGAAATGGAACTATGGAACTGCTGATAGAATAAAACATGATAAAGTGAGGAGCAAATACATTTAGTCATACACAGTATCTATGTATAATATAGACCTCTATATAAGGGTTTGACCTTGTAGATTATGTATGATATGACAGCAGGAGTAAAAGGAGTGCAGGTGACATAGATTTGGTGGTAGGAACTGGATGGAGTTTCTTTCTTTGATCTTCCTTTCTTTATATTATGTGTGGTAGAAGGGAATTCCCCAAAGTCTGGGAGTGCGGTTATTTGTTGAGGATGAGAGGGTAAAGTTGGAAGTTTGAGAAGTGTGAAATAAGAAGCAAAGTCATATTTTACAATAGAAAAGTGAGATTTAGAAACTTGTGAAGAATGGTGACAGTTTGATGCCTGGGGGAAATGATGGAGGGGACAATGAGGAACTGCTGAGCACTGTAGATCAAGAGAGCAGCTGTGATTGGATTCTATACATTTATGGCGGCATCAATCTTCATGGTTGCTTGGGTTTTGGCAGCTGCATCACAATCCATATGTGGAATCAGAAGATATAAATGGTAAGGGACCCATTGTTGAGGTTTAGATGGACACGGGTTGTAGAGTCAAAGGTCGAAAAGCCAGAGGTTGAGGTGGGGCACCATAAAATCTTAGGATGAGGATGAAGGGCAGGAAAGTGACTTTCCAGGAGAACAGGGAATAGTTCTCACAGAGATCACAGTGATCAGAGTGTAGGGTGCAGGATAGGAGGGAATGAGGGTGAAGAGTGAACCATTTTGATCAGAAAGAGGATAGTTTATATATGGAAAAGAACATATGAAAAATTGGAGTGTAAAGAGAGATGACTTTAATTTGTGGTCAAGGACATTGATCCCAAGTTAGTCTAAGTTGTCATTTGCATAGGCATTGAATCCCAGAATGTAAAAGAAGGCATTGCCATAAAGGCTAACTAATATTATAATAGCAAGAAAACAGTTCTGGGAAGAACAGCAATTTCATGATGCTGATCTCCAAGGTAATCCTTGGGTAACCAGTAAATTGTGTCAATTTCTAGGCATAGGACTTGGCAATGAAACAAAGGATGTGAGAGAAAAATGAGAATACATTCAAGATAATAAATGTGAACTGCTTTTAGGCTATGCACCATGGGACTTAAGAGCATCAGAGAGATTTTGGTTAAAATATATTTTTTACTCTTGCTAGCTGTGTTGTTTGGGCAAATTACATATCAACTCTGAAACTTAGTTTCCCCATCTATTAAATGGGGATAATAATATAATCTACTTTAAAATCTTACAGAAACTTCTTCAATATTTATTATTCAACAAGTGATATTTGCCAGAATCTAAGGAAATCAGTCAAACCAGAACATATTCCAATGGGAAGGATGCTCCAAGTTCATCATATAGTCAGCAAAGCAAACAGTGAAAGAAGCCAAGAGATGTTCAGGATCATCTGTGGCAGGATTACCAAGATCCCTAACTCCCTGTCAGAATCTAGAGTATCAGCTTTCTTGCTTTCTGTTAGACTAGGTGACTGAACTTGTCTTAGTGTGGACATTCTTTACTAAAGAAACTTTACTTACCTTTTCTTTGAATATTTTCCAGGGCAGGAAAATCACTACTGTTCATGAAAACTGCTCAATTTCTTTTTATTCTTTTCTGGTCTTTTGACAGCTGTGAGTATTTTTCTTTATGCAGCATAAATCTTTTTTTCCTTGCTTTCCAATCAGTTGACCTTCTTGTGTCCTCCAGCAGTCCTATTTTCTCTTCCACTGACAGCTCTTCAGACATTTGAAGACAGTGACTGTGTCTCCCCAGACGATCCTCTTCTCTGGCATTGACATCCCTGGGTTGTCAGTGTCCTTTAGTGACACAGCCCAGGGTCTTTGCACTCAGATTGCCATTTTTCCTGTTTTTGTCTGTCTCTGTCCCTGTTGGCTCCTCACCTCCAGACGTGACCTGAATTCCACAAAACTGAATAGGGCTTTTCCCAACCCTATGTTTGGGACATTTCATGCAGTTAAAGCCAACATTGATCTTTCATTAGGCTTTCCATCTGTTTTCCATGCACTGCTCTCATGGACTTCCCTAGAAGTACAGATGTGTTTTGCATAAAAAATAAAAAAAAGGTGGGGGGTGGCAGGACTTGCTCTTTTTCTAGGTTACACTTCATTTGATAGATT